ATGTGTATTTCATCCTGTAACTAAGAATGCTTGATTTTTTTTTAGGTGGTCACTTTTCTTCATACAGTTCTCTTATGTGACAAATTGAACTTTACTACAGCTTTAGTGGTTTGCCCCCTTAATACTGCCCTCAACTGGATAAATGAATTTAAGAAATGGCAAGAGGGATTAGAAGATGACAAAAAACTTAAGGTGCCATAATTTTTTTTAATTTTTAGATTTTTAAAAACAGTATTTAGCATGTATTTTAAATATATATTTTAATACATAATTTAGGATTTTTAATTGAAGGAAATTGAGTAATATTTTACTGAAACATTTTGGTATTAGTATTCTTTAAGATTAAAAATATCTGTTGATATTTGATATGCATTTTACCAAGGTATCTGAATTAGCAACCATGAAAAGCCCTCAAGATCGAAGTATTTTACTACAAAAATGGCAAGACAGTGGTGGTGTCATGGTCATCGGCTACGAAATGTACCGAAATCTTGTACAAGGACGGAATGTGAAGAGTAAAAAATTAAAAACAGTATTTAATAAAACTCTTGTTGATCCAGGTAAAATAATGTATTTAATACTGAAACTTAAAGTCATATTTCGATTTTATATTTTTGCTAATATTTATTGAACATCCAAAGTAGTCTTGGAGAGGAAAGGAAAGGTATAGAAAAGGAAAATTATAAATTTTGAATTGGATAGAACATCAGAAGTCATCTGTGTCAGCACTCATGTTAGAGATATGGACTATAGCACTTAAGAATAAGAATTAATTTTGCAAAGTGCTTTTTTTCTCATTTAGCTTTCTCAGCAAACTTTTGAAATAGGTGTAATTATTATCTCCATTTAATAATGAAGAAAACTGAGTCTGAGAGAAGTCAAGTGACTTACCCAGGGCCATGGAACTGAGGCAGGATTGAAAGCCAGTTCTTCCTTTATCCAAGTTCCGCGCTCTATCCACTATACCAGATAGGCTTAAGACACTTTTTATTTTCATTATTTCTGTTTATTTCTATTATATGCCAGGTGTAGGGAGAGGTGCTCAGAATATAAAGCTACATATATATTAACATATATATAGTTTCTGCTTTAAGGAGCTTTTATCCTAATTTACATATTATTGCTATTTTATTCTAATTTACATATTTATCATTTAATAGATAAATAAGTTCCAGAGGTTAATATTTTCTTTGAGATTCAGAGTCACAACCTGTGCTTTAGGAAAGTCCCTTTGACAAATTTGTGGAGGATAAATTGTAACACTAAGAGATTTGTGGCTGGAAAACCAATTAGAAACTATTAGTATAGTTCAGAGAAAAATCAGCAGGAATGACTTTGTCCTCACTTGAAAGAAGAAGTTCAGAGAAAAGGAAAACTGTCATTTGTTGGCATAGGTATGAAATAAAACTGGTCTTCACTTGATAACTAAGCAGGTGATATGAAAAGGTCTCACAAAATATCAATACAAACATGGAAAGTGTTTGTAATTAATAATAAAATTTGTGAAAAATAGTTTAAAAAGTCAGTGGTGGTGATGCTATGTAAATTCATATACACTTTATACTAATAGTATATGTGTAAATTGGTCCAGCAGTTCAGGAACATAATTTGGAATTGTGTACAATAGAAAAGTTTCTGAATTTTTAATGCTGCTTGACCCAGTTATGTGCTCCCAAGGAAGTCAGAGACAGAAAGAAAAACATACATTCCACAATATTAATATCAACACCTGTTGTATTGGGGGGAGGGGGAAGACAGCAAAAAAAAACCATTAGTTAATATTTGGAGACTGTTTCAGCCAGTTGTGATTTTTGAATGAATTGGAATATTTTACAATAATTTATATTTTTACAGTAATTGATGTATAAATATATACTATATTTTACAATATAAAAAAAATTGAAGAATTCAGAGAATGGAACAGATGGTATGCCAACTAATTGGCAAAGTAAATAGAACCAGTAAAATAATCTGTCCATTGCTATAAATAAGTAAATGCAAAGTGCAATGACAGATACTGATTCAAGTGGACAAATGATGAGACAGGCACATATCCTTCCTCTATGTAGAGAGGTGGGGATTAAGGAAAAGAATACTCATATGATAGATGACTTTGCAATTTTTTCTCTTTTCAGGCATGATTTTTTGTGGATGATTGAATAGATCAGAAAATGTGGTACAAAAATTAAAAGATACCTTTAAAAAATGAAAACAAACAATTTAAATGACATGTTCTCGGTTAGATAATGCATAAGCCTTAGTTAAGATATCCTTACTTTTAATCCATTGATATTTCTGCTCATTTGGCAAATGTGGCTCTCTAGCATAGCTTTTCAATATTTAAGCATTGCTCCATTGTGCAGTTGATCTTAGATAAGCATTAGTTGATACAAATTTTGTGAGAGTTAAATAATAGTAAAAAATTTTTTGGTAGGCCCGGATTTTGTTGTGTGTGATGAAGGTCATATACTAAAAAATGAAGCTTCAGCTGTATCCAAAGCTATGAATTTGATTCGTTCAAAAAGACGAATTATTTTAACAGGAACACCTCTACAAAATAATCTAATTGAATGTAAGTTGCTGTCCTCTTTTGAGTTATTTTGAGTTATTTTTTCAGCATGGATATGATTTATGTTCCTAATCTCTTTACCTACAGTCTTTTTAGAATTTTTTTCTTTTATTTATTAACTTGTCTGAATTATTTCAATTATTATAACATTTATTTCTGTTAAAATTTGTGTTAAATTATGTCTTTGTGTTTTAAAAATATTACTAAAGTTTTACTTATCATTAAATTTTCTGAACTATTTCTAAAAAATGTGCTTACCAACATCTTCAAATATAGTTGGATTGTTAAATAATTATTTGGCAAGTGCTAATTGAATTATCACATTTCATCAGATTTCATTTATTTAAAAAAACTTTGTTCATCATTATTGCATTAATGATATAAAATTGGTTGAATAAAATGTGATATATTTGCAATGACAATTTATTTTTCTTCTCTTAGATCACTGTATGGTTAATTTTGTCAAAGAGAATCTACTTGGTTCTATTACGGATTTTAGGAATCGATTCATAAATCCAATTCAAAATGGCCAGTGTGCAGATTCCACCACGACAAATGTTCAAGTAATGAAAAAGCGTGCCCATATTCTCTATGAAATGTTAGCTGGCTGTGTTCAGGTAGATGTAAATTATATATTCATCTATACTCAGTTTTAGTTGAAAACTCTGTAATTTTGCTTGAAACCACTTCATGATATGTTGTTACATTTGAAGTATAAAGTAAGAAAGGCAAAGGTCCAAGCATGATCAATTTATTAGACTAGCAGTAACCAGTGAGTTGAATCAGTTGCTTCTCTCAGTGACAAAGACCCCAAGGTAATTAGTTAGTTTTGGGAAATTCAAGAGAACAAAGGACATAGTTGGATAGGTAAGGAAAGACAGTTAGGGTAGATAGTCATAGGTGTTGGGACAGCATGATTGGTTACATCAAGGAAACTGGTGCTAGTAACTCCTCTCAGCATATTGTAGACATTGTGAGTGGACCTGAATTAGCAGATTCTCCAGAAAGATTTGTTAGGAAGATAATGGTTTTCCTTGGTGGTGCAGAGACAATTCAGGGGCACTGTATCTCTTAGAACTTCCTTCAAGACAACTTGGTTCAAGATAACACCTGATGTTTTAGTATTTTCCTAGTTTTTCCCATTAATTGTAACTTTAATCTGAGAGGGAAAGTTGAGTTCTCAGGCTCAATTCAAGGACAAAGAAAGGTGGCTAGATAGTGTAATTGATAAATGAATAATAATCTCTTATACAATATATCCTACTTTTGGTTGGAGAAAAGTTATTTTTACCAAAATTTTTGGCACTGTCAGATTGTTAAACATTAGAAACTGACAAGTTTTTTTTTATCAGTAGAAAGACATTAAAGAATAGGCATTGCCATCTGTTTTCCTGTTGCACCCTAAGGACTGTGGGACTTTTCAATCTGACTTGGAACTGAAGTCTTACATCACACACAACACACACACATATGTATAATATATAATATATATATATTGTGTGTGTGTGTGTGTGTGTATGTAATATCTATTTGTATCCCTAGTGCTTTGCACATATGGCAAGTATTTAACAAATATGTCCATTCATTCAATTATTCATCACCTTGAACCTGTAAACTTCAAGGAGTTCAAACACCATCTGTCCTGCCCAAGCAACCCAGGGGTGAGAACAGAAGTGGAAAAGGACACAGAAGACCATGTAGCTCTCTGAATTTTGATCAAGGAGCTGGATGGATGAAGGGAGGAATAAAAAACTAGGCTTCTTAGCCACCCAGTACCCTGATCCAGGACAGCCTGCTACATCTAAGAGTAGACACACCAAGTGAAAGAGAAGCAACATCAGATAGTCAAGTTAACAAGCATTTATTAAGCACTTTCCATGTGTCAGGTATTGTATTGGGAGACACATAGCCACCATCCCAAAATCAAGAAATTGCCATTCTAACAAGGAAACTATATTTGAGATATATAAACAATGTAAAAAAAGGGAATAATTTCAAAAAGGAAGGTATTAGTAGTGGGGGATGGAGAGCGAAGGAGGAGAGACCAGGAAAGGCTTCAGGTAGTAGATGGAATTTGAGGTAAGACTTAAAATTAAGTCAAAATTTTATTTATATGTTTGTAAATATCCATGTACTGCATTTAAGTTGTCAATTGTGTTAGTATTTATCAGTCAGACTTTTCCTGACCCCATAGAATATGGCCTTCTGTCATCCATTATCTCTCAAACTCTATCCAAGTTTATGTTCGTTGTTTGCATGGCACTATTCTAACCAGCTTCAGTATTTGGCCTTCCAGTGAATAGCCAGAATTAGTTAATTTAAGTACTGAATGATTTGGTTTCCTTGTTGTCCAAGGGACTCTGGAAAGTCTTCTCCAGTACCAAAATCTGAAAGTGTTGATTTTGTGGAGCACAGCTTTCTTTATAGTTCCAATTCTCCCATTGCTCCTGGAAAAACCATAGTTTTCACTATATGGAAGGGTCAGCAGGGTAATGCCTCTGCTTTTCAGCCTGCTGCTAGATGTGCCTTTTTTCTCTCTTTTTCATGGCTCACTGCTGCCTAGATGTGCTTTTTTTCCAAGGCAGTCTCTTTTAATTTCATGGCTGATGTCACCATGTGCAGAGAAGTGATGGCCAAGCAATCAAGATTGTAGTTTTGTTTTGTTTTTTATTTTACATTTCAGGACATAGGTCAGAATAGTTAGTTTCTAGTAATTTCCTTTATTCATTTTTTTTCTGAAAAACCTCATTTTTTAATTTTCATAGTAAAAATTTGGGGCCCCTCTCTTTTTAGATCAAACTAGCTCATGACTTGAAAAAGCCTCACTTCAATTAAAGTCCATTTTTCTCCCATAGAATCATATTCAGCTTTGCAGGGTAGATCATGTAAGACTGTATCTTTTGCCTTTTAGGTATTCCATGTTTTCTCACAAAATTTCTATCAGTAGCTGCCAGATCTTGTGGAATCATAAGTAGTGTGTGAACTGGTTCTTTCTGGATGAAGCATTTTTTGTTTGACATGGACTTTATGAATTTTGGCATTTGTGAGATTTTCTGTTTGAGATTACTTTCAGGAAATGATTGGAGTATTCTTTTTCTCTTTACTTTGCTCTCTTGTTCTAATAGATTAGGGTAGTTTTACTCATGGTTTCTCAAATTATAGTATGTTGATCTTTTTTTTTTTGTTACGGTTTTTAGGGAGTTGAATGAGTCTTAAATTATTTTCCTTGGCCCATTTTCTATTTTACTAGTTTTTTACATCAGAATCTTAGATTTCTTTTTTTTCCCTCAATGCTCTTGTAAATTCAGTTACCATTCTTTCCTCCAGGCCTTTTAGTCAAAAGACTCTTTCCTTATTTAACCCAGGTATTCATGCTAGATAGTTGGAACTCCATTGAATATTTTTGTAATCATTATGACTAATTTGCTTATTTATTGTGGGCATCTCTAGTTTTTATGTACATACACATACATATATATGTATATTTATGCTGATGAAAGCTTTCTTTGATTTACTCATCTCTCTAGCTTTGGACATTTTATACCTTCTGCTGTACTTTTGATTGGGATGGTTAGTCTCAGAGTAATAATTTTTAAAGTTTCTTTATCTCAGTTAAGGACCTTGGCTCCCTTGGACTTGAAATCAAATTCACCCTTGAATTCTTACTACCTTGGACTCTTAGAAAGTTACTTCACCTCTGTTTGCCTTTGTTTCCTCAGTAGTAAAATGTGCTTACAGGCTTGTTGTGAGGATCAAAGGAGATAATATATGTAGAGTGCTTAGTGCTTTAGGCTTGGCATATAGTATAAACGTTAGAGATTTATTACTCTCTGTTGCAGCTAAAATCCCATCTTCTATAGGAAATCTTTTCCAATTCTCAATTATGTTGCCTTTCCTCTTTGAATAATTTCCATATTTATTGTGTACATTTCTGGTTTTGACAATATTGTTAGCTTCTTTTTTCTTTCTTAGATTGTGAACTCTTTAAGGGCAGGGACTGTTATTTTGCCTCTTTGTTGTAGACCCAGCACATTGCCTGCCACATGATGGACTCTTAATAAATGTTTGTTGACCGACTGACAGACTGACCATCTTATGACTTTCTAAAACACAAAACCATGTGGACAGCCTCTGCAAAAGAATCCCTATAGAAAAAAGCAGCCTAGCACTGTTGTAGGTACCACAACATTGACTACTAAATACTAAAAGCCACCCAGTCTGAAATCTATCAGTTTTGTTGATGTGAAAAGTGAAGGCAGAGAACCATTTGGGGAGTCAAAATTTGGTATGTCTTCATGAGAAATTTTAAATACAGATAATATAATAAATTTATGAAATGCAAGATAATAGAAAATGAAGAACTATGTGTATGGTGAAAATTAGGTCAGAAGGGACCATTTGTTGGATAGTGAAAAAAGAATTTATTTTCACTGGACTCAGGTTGTTTTTTTTTTATTAGTACAGAAAAGATCATTTTTAAAAGTTAAATCTAAGAGAACCAGTGATTGATTATGTTAAAGAGATTATAAGCTTGAGAGTTAGGCTATTTTGGAGTTTGGAATATACCTGAATTAATTACTAGTATGAGAGCATAATTTATTTTCATTTCTTTATCTTACAGAGGAAAGATTGCACAACATTAGCAGAGTTTTTACCACCCAAACATGAGTATGTATTAGCAGTAAGAATGACTTCTATTCAGTGCAAGCTTTACCAGTACTATTTGGATCACTTCACAGGTAAAAAAAAAATTAATTTGTGTGATTATTCTTTCATGTTAATTTGTAAGGGTTTATTTGTTCCTCAAATAAAAGTGTTATTTAAAAAATTTGGAGACTTCCCCTTCCGGGAGCCAAGATGGTGGAGTGAAAAGGTAGTCTCTCACTCTCCCCTATCAACCTCTGAAAACCCAGAAAATATCACCCAGAAAAAAACCCCAGAACACCTGAACTAGAAGAAAGACAGGGAGCAGCAGTGCAGCAGCCCATCAAACGGGTCTCCCAGTGCCTCAGCAAAAATAAGGGAGTCATAACTACAAGGGGCCCCAGGCACATAAGTACCCTGCACTATTCATCTGAAAGGAGGTGAAGAAAACAAGCTAAAGGCTTCCTAAAGCCCCGCCTTGCTGATTCGAACCCAAACAGGTGAGCTATCGGAGCCCTGTAGCCTCCAATTGTGAAGAAATCCTGAAGCCCAGGTGGTAGAGCAGGCAAACACCAACACCTGGACCTCCGAGTGCCTCAGTGAGGGTGGGGGGAACCGGTGGAAACCAGCTCAGAAAACCACCAGGTGCCTGGGCACTCCACCAAAAAGGAATCTCCCAGTGCATTAGCAGAAATGAGGGAGACAACACTGCAGGGGGCCCCAGGCAGATAAACACCCTGCAGCACCCATCTAAAAGGAGCGAAGAAAGCTAAAGGAAAGGAAAAGCAGGCAACCTAGAATTGCCTGAAAGTTCCAGCCTTGCTGATCCAGGCCAACCGAGGTAAGCTGCCAGAAACCTACAGCCTCCAATTGCCAGCATAAGAGGCCCCAGCACAGAAAGCCAGTTATCAAGACCTAGGCTCCCAACACAAGAAGCTTGGGTCAGTACCCTCTGTTCCCCAGCAGGAGAGCTCAATCTCTTTAAAGGCCAGGGAATAAAGAAACACCATGAGTAAAAAGAAATGTACCATAGATTCATATTATGAGAAGAGTGAAGATCAAGACAGAAATTCTGAAGAGGACAACATTGTCAACAAACCACATCTGCAACAACAAAAGGGAATATGAACTGGTCTGAAGCCCAAAAAGCCTTCTTAGAAGAGCTCAAGAAGAATTTTAATAGTCAATGAGAGAGATAGAAGAGTCCTTCAAAAATACAATTGGCCAATTGGAAAAAAAATACACTGCAGAAATCAAGTCCCTAAAAACACAATTGGCCAATTGAAGAAGGATGGACAAAAACTAATAGAAGAGTATACTGAAGGAAACAAGTCCCTAAAAAACACAATTGGCCAGTTGAAGAAGGAAGTACAAAAACTAACAGAAGAAAACAATCTGTTAAAAACTAGAATTGGACAAATGGAAACTAATGTCTCTATGAGAGACAAGAATCAGTCAAACAGAAACAAAAAAATGAAAAAATAGATGAAAATGTAAAATACCTCATCAGTAAAACAACCGACCTGGAAAATCGACTCAGGAGAGACAATTTAAAAATTATTGGACTACCTGAAAATCATGATGAAAAAGAGCCTGGACAGTATCTTTCAGGAAATCATAAAGGAAAACTGCCTGAAGTCCTAGAACCAGAAGGGAAAATAACCATAGAAAGAATCCACCGATCACCACCTGAAAGAGATCCCAAATTGACAACACAAGGAATATAATAGCAAAATTCCAAAATTACCAGATGAAAGAGAAGGTGCTGCAAGCAGCCAGAAAGAAGAATTTAAATATCATGGAACCACAGTCAGGATTACACAGGACCTTGCAGCTTCTACATTAAAAGACGCAGGGCATGGAACATGATATTCTGTAAGGCAAAGGAGCTTGGAATGCAGCCAAGGATCAATTACCCAGCAAAATGAGCATCATTTTTCAAGGGAGGAGGTGGATATTCAACGAAATAGGACTTCCAAACTTTCCTGATAAAAAGACCAGAGCTCAACAAAAAATTTGATCTTCAAGTACAGGACTCAAGAAGGACTTAAAAAGGTAAATGGACAGAAGGATACAATATGTGTTAATGGGGGGGGCGTTTAAACCCTACAAGGGAATATGAGACTTGCAACCCTTGAGAACTGTATTGTTATTACACCTTGTTGAAGGAGTATACATAAAGAGGGTGGATATTAGTTGACTTTGATGTAATGATAAAAAAAATCTAATCAAGTGGGTTAAATGGATCCAAATAAGTGGATCAATCTGATCTTAGAAAATGTACTGAGAAAGGAGGAGGCAGACAAGGGTAAATTACATTACAGGAAAAGACACAAAATCCTATTACAGCAGAGGGAAAGAGGGAGTGGGGGAGCATTGTTTGAACCTTACTCTCATCAGATTTGGCTCAAGAAGGGCATAATATAATCAGTTAGGTATAGAAATCTAACTTGCCCTATAGGCAGTAGGAGGAAAAGGGGAAAGAAAAGGGAGGGGGGAAAGAAGGGAGGGAAGAAGCAGTAAGACTAAAGGGGAAGAAAAGGGAAAGGGATAATAAAAGGGGGAGGGACTGAAGGAGGCGGTGGTCAAAAGCAAAACACTAGTGAAGGGGAAAGGAAAAAGGAGAAAGAAAAGCATAAATAGGGGAAAAAAGGATGGAGAAAAAGACACAGATAGTAATCATAACTGTGAATGTGAATGGGATGAACTCTCCCATAAAAGGAAACAGATTGCAGAATGGATTAAAAACCATAATCCTACAATATGTTGTTACAGGAAACATTTGAAAAAGAGTGACACATACAGGGTAAAGGTAAAAGGCTGGAGCAGAATATATTATGCGTCAGCTGAAGTGAAAAAAGCAGGGGTAGCAATCCTGATCTCAGACAAAGCAAAAGCAAAAATAGATCTAATCAAAAGAGATAAGGAAGGAAACTACATCCTGCTAAAAGGCACCATAGACAATGAAGTAATATCATTACTAAACATATATGCACCAAATGGTATAGCATCCAAATTCTTAGAGGAGAAGTTCAGGGAGTTACAGGAAGAAATAGACAGCAAAACTATCTAGTGGGGGACCTGAACCTCCCCCTCTCGCACTATAAGTCTAACTACAAAATAAACAAGAAAGAAGTTAAGGAGGTGAATAGAACATTAGAAAAGTTAGGTATGATAGACCTCTGGAGAAAACTGAATGGGGATAGAAAGGAATATACTTTTTCTCGGCAGTACATGGCACATACACAAAAATTGACCATTACTAGGGCATAAAAATCACAATCCAATGCAGAAAGGCAGAAATATTAAATGCATCCTTTTCAGATCATGAAGCAATAAAAATTATATGTAATAAAGGGCCATGGAAAGATAGACTAAAAAATTGGAAACTAAATAATCTAATCTAAAAAATGATTGGGTCAAACAACAAATCAT